TGTTTGTTTTTAGCTTTCACAATGCAATATGGGGATATATGGGTTCAAATGGAGTAAGAAAAAAAAGAAGAAAAGTGAGGAAAAAACTCTTCTCTGACTTTAAAAACAGATTGTGATATCGGATTCAATGTAATCTAGTTTTATCTTCTGATATGTAAAGCAGTTAGCTGATGAATTGAAAAATACTTGTGGTTTGCAAACTGACAAAGTCCTGCGACAGAGACATGAGAATTTTTTATGAATTCCCAGAAATCATAGTAAATAGACATTACAATTCATAAGAAATCAGAAGGAATAAATGCAGAAGAGTTTGAGCAGTGTGCTGAAAACCATTCCCAAAGTTTACAACTTCTATTCTCAATCCCCTCCTACCTCTGTTTTCTAGTCAGTTCTGGAAGCAACCGCACATCTGTGACTTCCTTCTTCAGCTTTTTATTTTGAGATATTTGCAGATTCTCATGCAGTTGTAAGAAATAACAAAGATTCTTTGTACCCTCTACCCAGTTTCTCCCAACAGTAGCACCTTGCAAAATTACAGTATAATATCACAGCCACAATATCGACATTAATACAAGTTACAATACAGAACATTCTGTATTGTACAGAACACAAGGATTCCTCCTGTTGCCCTTTTATAGCCACACCCACTTCCCTTCCACCCCCACCACCCATTAACCTCTAATAACCACTGAAACTTCATTTCTATATCTTTGTTATTTCAAGAACTGTATATAAATATACCCCTTTGGAGTTGGACTTTCCACCCACCCTAATTCTCTGGAGATTTATTCAAGTTGTTGTGCTGATCAATAATTTATTTTTTTTTATTGCTGAGTAGTATTCTGTAGTATGAATGTACTCTGATTAACAGTACATGCTTCACTGTTCGCAGTGGCTAACAGTTTGTTTATCCATCGAAAAACATCTGAGTTGTTTCCAGTTAGGGGTCATTATGAATAAAGCTGCTATAAGAATTCACACACCTTTCTATGTGAATTTAAGTCTTCATTTATGTAAATAAATGATTGGAAGTACAACTGCTGAGTCATAAGATAGTTACAATTTATTTCTTTAAGAAACTGTCAAACTGTCTTCCAGACTCACTGTAGCATTTTACAATCCCACCAGCAAAAATGAGGAAGCCAGTTTCTCCACATCTTCCGCTGCATTTGGTGCTGTCGAGGTTGATTTTTAGCCAAAGCCGGAGATTCAATTTGGGACAAAAACTAGCAGCAAGGCTTTCAAATTTAATGTGTTTATTTTAAAATGTGTAATTTTTTACATTACATGTGTAATCTGTCTCCCCTCAGTTCAGACAAAAATAAATACAGTTTAATAAGTAAGTTAAGATGAGGAAACAGTATGATATGACCTCCAGAAAACAAGTTCAAACCCAACTCTGCTGCCTGCTAACTGTGTGAACTTGGACAATTATTTCACTCCCACAGTCAATGCCAGGGTGGTGCATCTCTTCCACCTTGAGGATGAAGAGAATCAAACCTGCTTTACCTGCCTTACAGAAATAATGAGTTCAAATGAAATATAGGAAGGTGATTTGTCAGCAGTGAGGAGCTATTCAACTACATGGCAAAGAGAGTGAGTCGTAGCAAAGAGAATCCAGTGCACTTAAGGGTCTCCTTCATTCTGCAGAACATTCTATAGAATGTCACAACAGAGAAATGGCAGGAATCACAGCTTCTGAGTGTGGGAGTCAAAATGTGGGGTGCAAGAGAACCCATCAGACCTTCTCTTTATATTTGCTTTTATATAAATAATCGGAATCACCAACACCCTCACGTGGTCCCAGTCAACAGTTGCCTGGGGTCACAGGGTGTCCTCAGGAAGCAGGGAGATCTCAGCTGAAAAGCTGTTAACGGTGGCCACCTAACTGGGAGGTGTTACGGTTTGTCTGGCTCAGTTAGGTGGGAGTAGACTATATAATATCTGTGAGGGTTTTTAATTTTGTAAAAGATTACATTTATTTTTAGAGAGGAGGAAGGGAGGGAGAAAGAGTACGAGAGAAACATCAGTGTGTGGTTGCCTCTCACGCACCCCCTACTGGGGACCTGGCCTGCAACCCAGGCAAGTGCTCTGACTGGGAATCCAACTGCAGGCCTTTGGTTCGCAGGCCAGCACTCAGTCCACTGAGCCACGCCTGTCAGGGCTGTAATCTGGTTTTAACTAAACTAACCTTCCACCAAATGGACAAGGGGCTTAAGATTCCTGCAAAATACTTTAGATTGGAGATGATTCCAAGAATGTAGGAATAAACCATCAACAAGAAAATGGGAGAATTAAACTGCTTCCCCCTCCTAGCTAAGAGCTTTAGTCAGCCACAAAACAAGGCAGAAACATCCACAACATGAATGGAACAGTTAATCAGCTGAAGCATTTTTCAATGTCCAAGACTATTTGAAATGTGAATTTGCATCCATTGTTGGTGCTGCTGAAATCTCTCCCTAACATATTAAAACCTCTGGTTTAATTCTTCACTTACCCTTTTTCAGTTTATTCTTTGCTTAGGTTTATAATAAAAATAATACATCAGTAAAATAGTGCAGATACATAATTTATAAAGAAATGCATTTAAAATGTTTTACTCTTGGAGTATACAATTAAAACAATGAGACCCTATTCATTGACTCTCAGTTCAGAGTCTGAACCAAGGGGAGATAGAGCTATAAAACTGAACAGAAACAAAGCTTCTAAGTGGTGCAGGGAATGGATTAAAAGAAAGCACATATATTAGAATACGTAAGGATCAAATGGAGAGACGTGGTGGAAAGCAATTGGCATTTATTGAGCACTTATTGTATCCTGTCCTCTTTATACACATTATTCCTTTAATCCAGTTTTTACTTGGAAGGGTAGATTTTACATATAAGTAAATTAAGGTTCAGAGATGTTGAGTGATTTGTTTAAAGTGCACAGCTTTGCAGCCATGGCGTCTGAATTTAAAAAGATCTGACACTTAAAGCATGTCTTTCCTGTCCTTACAGGGTCATGATAGTTGAAGTCGCTGGGTTGTGGAGAACTCAGGCATGAGAATCTCCAGAACCTCTGAGTGCTGACTGTGGCCATACAAGCCACCCTCTTGGTAGGTATAAATCACATCTGACATTTGGTACTAAGAAAAAATGGGGGGAACCACTGACCTGGGACATTCCATTTCTTTAAAGTGTCATTTCCCTCAGTTTAGACCTTTGTGTTAGGCACCAAGAGACCACACCACACGTGGAAAACATGACATGAAGCTAGGCATCCGCAGCCAGTCTGACGGGTTGCTATCACTAGGACCATTTCCACATACCTTTCTAGAGCCTCTGAAGACAACCAGGAGCCATGGCCTTCACCCAGCCAACCTTGAGGCTGGGCGCCAGTGCAGACTCCGCACACAGATCTCCGTGTCCGTGGGCTGTCAACACCCTGCACTTACTCTGTGGCTCTCAGGAAGGTAGCCTGCATGCCGCTCTTAACCTTCGAAGAGCTATGCCAGAGAGAAGAGCTATGTTTATTGAGCACTTACTCTATGCCAGGCCCTCTACTTAATCGCCTCATGTGAATCATCTCACCCAGTGTTCGTCATGAGGCTGCAACAGAGTCTAAAATTATTTTCCACCTTTCACAGATGTGTCAAGTAAAGCAGAGAACGGTTAGATAATCTTTCGAAGGCCACATGCTGGTTAGTGTTGTAGTCAAAACCCGAACCTGCCTCTTCCCCCTGTGACGTTGCTTCTAATCACTGAGTTATGTTGCCATACAGGCAGAATAACAGTTTCATTTCTATGCATCACTAAAATGTCTTTATGACATGCTCAAAATTAATTTTAAAAATTCGTTGCATTCCAAATCTGATTTTGCTTCATCTTGGGATCAAAAATTTTGCCAGGATACATCATTAACCTCGTAATAAGCATCAAAATAAATTATGAAATTATATTTAGAGGCATTATTTTTACAAACTTGGAAAAATCATCTTAATTCTTTTTTTAAAATATTTTATTTATTTATTTTTAGATAGGAAGGGGAAGAGAAAGGGAGGGAGAGAAACACCAATGTGTGGTTGCCTCTCATGTACCTCCAACCAAGGACCTGGCCCACAACCCAGGCATGTGCCCTGACTTGGAATCAAACCAGCAAACCTTTGGTTTGCAGGCTGGTGCTCAGTCCATTGAGCCACACCAGCCTGGACAAATCATCTTAATTCTTCAAACTACTTGAAGTCCTTACAGACATGAAGCAGAGCATAATTAATCATACAATAAAATGTATATGGCTTCCTATTTACTCAGACAGATCTGAGGTTATAAATTAAAACTCCTAGGATGCTAGGAAGTGAGAAAAACTCAGCTCACAATCCAATTATTGCCACATATTAAGACAGTTAACAGTGAGAACATTAAACACAAGGACAATGGACTGAACTCTTCAATCATCTAATACCAAAGTATCTACGGACAGAAAAGCCCAGTGAGTTGCAGCCACTCTTAACTCTGTGACTTTTTAGTAAAATACAGCTAGTGGAAGTAATGGGGGAGGGGTGGAGAAATGGCATTTCCGAGACAGAAATGCTTCTAGGGCAAGTTCTCCTACGTACTTGCTTGTGTAAGTTGAGGAGCCTTGAGTTTCTCTTCTCAGATGTCCTCATTACAAATACCTAGGTCGTGGTTTTAAAAGCACTATAATTTACAAGCAAGTGCAGCTCACAACACACAGATTCAAACACCACTTAACATGACTGTTTAACATGACTACTGTCTCTTTGATGAACCAACAGACTGATATTTCTAAACGTTTCATTAAATATCACTGTATCACTGAAAAAATATTTAGCAAACAATTGCAGCTTCAACAGCCCCAAATATAATATATATTATAACAAGGTAAAAATAGTCACTTGATTAGATTCTATAATCTTATTGCTGGCATTATCTTTAATTGAATAGCACATGGTACAAAGAACTTAACGATGTTGGAAAAGTGGAAAGAATTACTAGGAATGAAAGGAGGCAAAGTCTTGCTTTATTTATTCCAAATTCATAACCAGTTGCTTGGTTTCTGCCAACAAATTCAAAGTGGGTTTTTTTTTCACTTTTTTCTCAGCCAGTTGGAGTTTATGAAAGCCATCTCATGGATATGTTCTCTTATTCCAATTTAACACAAATTTGAGAAAATTCAAAGATTTTGACACCAATGGTTACAGCGTCCATCCATTTAGAAAGAACAATGGTATGTATGGTGGGTTAAAGGTCCTTATATTCTAAACTAATATGGAAAATCAAGGTAGCTGGTATTTTCCCATGTACAAGAATCTACATATATTTTCTTGATTGGGCTTCTTCATTCAGTGAAAAATCTATTTTTAAATCCCTGAATTGAAGAAAACAAAAAGCCGTCTATTCCCCAAAGTGGATTCAACTCATCACTCTCCTGTTTGTGGGCGAAGAGCCAGATTCTGCCTGAGAACTTTCTTTTTCAGATTTTCTGCTTCTGCATTCCTCCTGTCTCACATTTTGGACCCCTCTCTCAGTCATCATTCCACGACTATGGGTAGAAAAGTCACGCCCTAATATTCTCCAATTGCACATTTTCACAGACATTTTTTATATGAACCACAAGTGGTCTCATAGGAAAACCTCTCATCTCTCATAGGTTCTGCAGGGAGTAGGCAGTCTGTCCAGCGCACTGTCCGTTTGTCACCCAGCGCAGACAGGGAATCCTATTACCTACAAAGGTATTAGGAAAGTGCTCCCAGCTGAAAGCATTTATCCAATTCCAATTGTTGTTTGGAAGTCTGAAGTACTAAGGGTGGTGCTGTTCCAGGAGCTACCGTTTGCAACAATGCAATGCCTGTTTAGAGTAGAAATCAGAACTTGAAAATCTCAGCCGGCTTTAAAAATAATAACTGAGCATCCAAAAAAGAATTCTTAAAGAAACATTTATATGCCAGGCATATGTTTTCAATTTTAATAACATTGGTTTAGTTTAATAAATATGTAGACCCTAATAATTATTCTCTATATTTTAATATTTCATATATTTTTCTATTTTAGTGAGTGTGCAAAGAGGCTAATTAATAAAAATGTAGGAAAAATATGTATCTGTCAGTACCAAGTTGCTGTGGTTTATGGGCATTGCAAATGCTGCTTTGAAAAAAAAATCTGTTAAATAGTAATTGAAAACTGCCCCGATTTTAAAAGAAATGAATGTAGCCATATCCTTATAGGATAATGTCAGATAAAAAGTAATCATGCTCCCTCTGCAATTGTGTTTGTTGGCATTTATATAAGAATAATAATGCTTTAAGGTTATATTCATAGTTGTTCACTTAACATGGGATTAACATCAAAATCTTCATAATTATCTAAGATCACCCATTTGAAAGCAGTGTAGCAAAACATGTTAGTGGTTAAGACACTCTAGCAATTTTAATACTAAACAGATTAACACACATGAAACTAATATTATAATTTGTGCATTGAATAACATGCCAGACCAAATTTGGGAGGCAGGGGTAAAGAGAATTTTTAGGAAATGGAACCCTTTCTGCTACCGCTTCCTATTTCTTGAACTACCAACGCAATCAGCTAGAAAACTCTATGGGAGATATACATGGCAATGCATGACTTCCGGACTTGAAATATTATTCTGTGGCTTCATCATTGCACGATTTTGGGAAACCACCATTTCTGAGGTTTGCTTTAAATAAAATTGCTCTTATCTGGTAAATAATATTTAAACCAAAATATTATTATAGGAGGGTGATCCAAGAGAATGAAGATACAGTCCAAATGGAATTAGAAACAAACAAAAAATATTTTTGAAGCATAAGAGATCACTATGTTTGACAAGAATGGCTATGAATTATTTTATGACCATCAGCAAAGAAATGTAGGTCCATACCTTATGCATTTTAAATAATAAAGAAGCATATTTTAATGTGTACTTCAGAGTCTCATAAAACTATTCTTCCGCCTCAACTTCTCCACCTCCTTCAGAGATCAACATGAGAGGAAGATGGGTGGTCATTTAGAAAGTAATATGAAATTATAAATTAACTACCCCAGTCATACCCATTTTTCTTGAATCCATGTGAAAATAGACTTCACATCTCAGACCTAATTGTTTCATAATTCTTGTTGCCTTTGGCTGGATGGGTCAGGGTGGGATGTGAAATCTTGGAAACTAAAGTGAGAGTAAAAATGTGGGTGCCCCCCCCCCAGCCAGGGAGAGTGTATGTTAAAAGGCAGTATCTGCCTAACTTCAGCAGTTCCTGAAAGGGAGGGTGGAAGTGCCCCGGATTTAAATCATGTTGTTTCCACTTATGCAGCGAGAATCCATAAAACGAGATTTATTATCATATTTTCTTTTTTGAAATGCAGTATTTGTTTTTGACTTTAAAAGTGCTCCTCAGTGTAGAGCAGAGCAAATATTACATTTTTGTTAAACAGCCGCCAAGATTTAATTGTCTGTGAAATATAAGGCTTAGGACCTGATTGGAGTTAACTACTGTTCTGCAGAAACCGGCGCGGCGGGCCTGGGCGGGGGCGAACGCGCCCGGCCGCTGCCTCGCGGGGAAGAGCCGCCCCGCAAGACTTCGAGGAGGGCTCGGGGCAGCGGAGCGCCCGCAGGAGCCCATCCGAAGGACTCGGGGCCTCATTCTTCCTGCCGCAGAGTTAAAGGGACTCCGTACAAAAAGTCAAACAAGAATAAGCAGCTATGGAAAATGTAACGAATCATGCTAGCGGTTTAACAGCGAGAGAGAGGGGAAATCCAGGGACCGCCAACAAATACTGGAGAAACGCGTCCTGGGGGCAGAAGAGAGGGGAGAGGAGACGGGAAGCTGCGTAAGGACACAGCGTGATTGCCACGTGTGCACCGCAGATTTTGCCGTTCTTGTCTGTACCCCCGGGGTTCCGTCGGGAACCTCAGGCGCCCGGCGCTTTCCGCGGCGCCCCGCGCGCCCTCCGCGCGCGCGTCGGGAGCGGCTGGGCCGCCCGCGCCCCCCCTGCGTCCCCGCCCGCGGGCCACCCCTTCCCCGGCGGCGGCTCCGCGGGGCGCCTCCTCCACCCGCCCAGGGTGCGGAGGAGAAAGCGGGCGGCTGCAGATTTGCCCCGGTGGCACCGCTGCCACAAGCCAACCCGTAATTGCAAAGCAAACAAGGCTGAAATATTGGGATTGGTCTCAATCGTGACAAGATCTACGCTTTTGCCGCCAATTTGTTTGTGCAGCTCTATTTAAAGGTTCTTGATTGAGGAAATGTTGGAAATAGCGGTACGGGTTTCCCTAATGAGACCCCGCGAGGGGGACGGCGGCCTTCGCCCGGCGCGGAGGGCGGGAGGGGGGAGGGGCGCGGTTAACCCCTTCCTGCCCGCCTCCAGCGAAACGTCCTCGGAGACCCGCAGGAGGCGAATGGGGAGGGGGGACCCCCCTCCCCGCAGCCGTGGCCGCCTTGGGCCTGAGCGGCGGAGAACTGGCCTCCTCGGCGGTTGTTACCGAGAGGGCGGTGGGATCCAAACGAAAATTTAACCAGGAGGGAGGGCGCGGCCCAGCAGCCAACACAGTGGCCTAAGTCTGGGGGGCGGCTCTGGATGCGCTTCCTGTCCCCTAACAGTCCCGAGCTGTGGCTGCAGCCAGCGTCTCACTCTGCGTCTCGCTGTCCAGCGACCGCCGAGGCCCTTGTGATCCCAGCGGAGGCGCGCGGTGCCCCCGAAGCGACCTGGCCCTAGTTGTCAAGTTGGGTCTTTGGGTCCCTGGAGGAAAAGTCAAGAAATCAAAAAGGCAGGAAGAGAAAATACATAAATATTTATCGAGAGCAAACAGATCTCGTTTATTCTCCCCTAAACACCCTCGAGGTCGGTGTCATTACCCCCTTGTTCAGATGAGGAAACTAAGGCTTAGGGAGAAGGTGGCGCCGGTCAGTGGGGAGCCCAGAGTCCGCCGTGCCGGCTCTGCCTCCGGAGCCCAGGAGCTCAGAGGGAGTACCGGCGAGGCTGGACTGCGTCTGCCACTCTCAGATCCAGAGCTGGCTGCTGCAGACCCGACGCCACTGCGATCAACGGGAGGAAGCCCTCCCTGGCCCTCGCAACAGCTGAGAGATGTAGGCCTGCTCCCTGACGGAGGGCGATGCCCTCCTCTACTAGTTCTAGTCGCCTTCAAAATAAAAACCAATTCGACTGCTATTGGAATAGCGGGACTCACCTGATTGCTCGGAATCACCCCTTTTACTGAAGCTGTTGGAGCACCTCCTGGCTTCAGTGCATGGATTGGTCTCTCCACAGCCCGCAGGAAGTGCCCAGAGGTCTACGGAAGAGAACGGAGCAGCAGCACCCGAGAGAAGTTCAGAAGAAAGAAATCTGATTTGAGGGAGGAGAGAGAAGGGAAGCTACACCTGGAAAGGACGCCTGGAGGAGGTGGCATTTCAGCTGGGCCCAGAAGAAACACAGAAGTGTGCGAGAGACGAGTTTGCTCGCTGTGCTGGCAAGTCACGCGGTGCCAGGCCCACAGTTGGCCACCTGCTGCCATGTCCCGCCTGCTCCCCTAACTTGGAGAACTGGGAGCTGATCAAACCCTGAGCCAAGTTCCAGTCTTTTATGGGATTGAAAACTTGGGGCTTACACACACCACCAGTGGCTAGACTTTGACCCTTCCAGAGCCCTGGACCTGGGCCCAGAAAGCCAAGGGCAGGGGTAAAAATGGGAGGGGGGCGCTCTCACCAGAGTTCTTGGAGCCACAGGAGCCCAGAGGGATCTGGTCAGAGATGTACCTGGGCCAATCTGAAGTTTGTCTTTCTGGAGTCACAGGCAGATGGAGACTGGGAGAAGGAAGACCCCTGGGTGGCAGAGGAGGCCTGCTTTCGGTTGGACTTCCCCAAGAATGGCCTGCACCTTCCGTCAGCAAAACAAAAAAGCATCAGTGTCACCAATTTAGTGAAACCTCCAAATGTGTTCCGAATGAAATTCTGCTTTTCTTGCACAAAACCGATTCTTCCGTTTGAAGTTGGAGGCTTTGCAGGCAGAATGCAATTCCATGTTTTGTTCCTAGAGGTTTGGGCCTGTGTTAACTTAAGTGGGCACTCACACAAGTATTAAAAAGAAAACCATTCTCTTCTGGAAAATGGAACAAAGTAACGCCTCTCCAACCTTGGGCCCGATATATAATCTGTAACAACAATTAGCCTCCCAGTGCTGCGCATTTCCAGCAAGCATCCTGCCTTCTCTGTTTATAACTTTTCTGCCTGCAATTATTTTTATTTTAATTCTCTGTCACTTTAACAGAAACCAGAGCCTTTTCTTTTCATGTTTTGTACACAGCATGTTCATTTTGATAAGATGTTCTTTCCTATCCTCTTTTAGCTTGCCTTTCCTTGTTTAGAGTTCTGCATCAGGAGTTTCTAATATTTCTTTCTCTTTCTCTCCCTCTCTTTTTAAGAGTTTGTCCCTGTCTTGCTTTATTTGTGTGAAATTTAGTTTGAAGGGAGATCAGAGAGAGCAGGAGGGGTCTGTAATAAGAGAATGACCGAATGACCCAAAGGCTGATTATCTGTCATTAACTGGAGACTCGGTATACCCAAATTACCGGGGAGACCTCAGTCTGCCGGATCCTTCCCCAGCCAGAAAGGCGAGTGTGGAATGCACACACAGAAACAGGCGTGTGACACTGCCAATGAAGACACCCTGCTCACACTTTTTCTTAAGGGGGTCTCCTTCAAAACTCACCTTGGGTCCAGTGGGCAAATTTATTAGATCCTGACATGCTGTATACACAGGTTAAAAAAAAAAATCCCTGCTGAAAGATTAACTTTAACATTTCTGTAACTTTGTGTGTGTGTTGTTTCGTTAGGCCCAAAATTGCAGTTAATTTTCTAAGCTCCAGAGAATTATTGAGAAATCAAGCCAAGCTGCTTTTGATCTGCTCGCGCTGCTAAACCCAAGCCTTGTAAAAATCGAGGTTTGCCATTAATATTGACAATAAAAGTGTTTCTTTTTGTTAACCTGAAACCTCACCATCCTGGCTCAAGTCCCTTGTCTAGAAGCAAAGGCCCTAGAAGAAAGTAGAAAGGGTTTGGGAGAAACTGCCGGGGCTAGAGAAACCCATCCGTATGGATTTGCAGAGGAGGCCTCAGACCAGGACTTCCAGGAATGCGAGCACACTGCACTCAGGACTGGCCATGGTCCGGCCCTCACGTCACAAACAGATCTTGCGGTCCCAGAAACAGTTTGTCCAAAGCCCCACCTTTTAAGCTGCCCTTTGCTTTCACATCTTCTTCTGAACAGCAGACGGGATTGCAGACTAGCTGAAGTCCATTACTTACTACTTCCACAGAGCACGTATGCAAAATTACAATTACTTCCTCATCTGCATGCGAATGATTTCCTCCCGGCTTGGAAGAAAATGTTGCCAATGTGGATGGAATTTGCTTGAAACCAGAATGTGGATGAGGAGTTAACATAAGTCCTGTGGGATATATTTTCTTATGCCATTTGTGCTCTAACCTTTATATTTTACTACGAAGTAGCAAAGATCAGATTTACAGCACCTCTTAGGGCCTCTCTAATAACATTCATAACATGTCCCATATATGTATCATAGTGCCTCTTGTGAGGTCTTCCCATCATGCATGTAGTTATCTTTTATTCCCTTCGGTTTGAGTAAGTCTTTCAGTTTGACAGACTAGGAACCTAGCAAAGTATTCAATTCTCTCTTATCAGTGAAAATCCTTCCAGACCAGCTGAACATCTTCCAGTTAACATGGAGATCTAGTTATTCATTATTTGGAGAAAATGAAAATTCCCAATGCCAGTAATCTTGAATATTAAGATCTTTCTTACATGTTGTGTACCTTAAACTTACACAATATTATATGTCAATTATATCTCAATTTTTTTTTTAAAAAAGGTTTTTTTTTTCTTGGAGGAGTTAGGATGAGCCAATACTTTATTCTCTTCATCAGTTTTAGGTTCAGTAACATCAAAAACTTTGTAAATCTAAACCTTGCTGGAGGCAAATTAGGAGGGAGGGAGGGACAGAGGGAAGAAGGAGGAGAGGAGGGACTGAGGAGAGGGGACACAGAGGGGGAGGGAGAGGCAGAATGGGGAGTGGAGAAGGCACGCAGGCACCAAGCAAGTCTCAGTTTTCTCCACCGACTTAAATGTCTCTTAATCATAACTAGACTGAAGGGCTCGTGAGCAATCTCCCCTCCTTAGTCAGCATTGCAGCTGGGCCGGCCCCTCCCCACCCCCAACTCCACAGAACTGCTCTGGATGGGGAAGAGGTGGGAAGAGGGCTCACTCATCAATATCCTGCCCCCAAACCCAAAATCCAAACAAGAAAATGCTCAGGAGAAATAAAACCTCTTCAGAGCCAAGGGAAGCTTTTCTTGCCCTTCATTTCTGAAACAGGCATAAAAGTCTGATTGAACTTGATTCTGCTTTGTGGGTGTGAACAGTGAGCAGCACCTCGTTTCTGGAGCCACTGTCACTTGCCATATCTGCAGACGACTATTTCCAAGAAGGAAAACAAGGAATTGAGTGTTTCCTTGTTTACAAAACATCGGTTAGAGAAATCCTTGCCACTGCACCACTCAGGCAATATGCCGCCTTCCCGGTGCCCTGAGGGATTTGAACCTCATCGGTTAGTGTGTAAAAGTGACTCAGTCCCACCCTGGTACAGGCAGGAATGCAGGACCACCTGGGTGTCCCACGAGGCACCGTCCTTGGAGCAGGCAGGGCTGGGGTTGCATCTTCAAGAACATATTGCTTCTTCTGCCACCTTCTGGGTTTGATATGTTTCTGGGGGTTTTATCCCACTCGGGGATCACTCATTATAGATAAATAGGAGAATGCTCAGGTTCTTCTATGTCAGTTGGGAAAGTAAGGTACAACGAGATTTGAAAAATGACAAAGAGAATTGAGCCATAATTCCCGTAAACATAAAATGTGTGTTTATGGCTCTCTGGCCTGGTTCTTTTCGGGTACAGCTTATTTTGAGTTCTCATGAGCAAAACACAAGATACTTACTGCCTTGCCTTTGGAATAATAAATACCTCAATAAGATCTGTATTTCCCCTGAAAACAGATTGAAGTGTAAAAAAAATATTTTGTTTAAACCAGATTGATTTTAAAAGTAGTATCTCACAAGATGCAAATGTTTGCAAGGGAGTGCTCAGCCTCTCTCATGCCCTTTGAATCTTTTCCAGGGGAAGGGGTGGGAGGGAAGGGATAAGGCCAGAGACATGGGCACAAAAGAAATGTTTGAACCTAGTTCTGTCTGTTTAGTTGGAGGCAGACATAAGGCACAGCCCAGTGAGTACTCCATCAGCTAGGACCTGCAAGATGGGGACAGAGAATCACAAACATTCTCCCAAACCAGGGTAGCCCCCCTGGGAAGTGGACTCCGGACCGACCAGGCTACAACAAGTTGCAGCCCCTGGCCTCAGAAAAGGAGAGGCAGGAAGTATGTCTTTGCCAGGATTCCTCCCGTGGGCACCCGCAACTAGGACTGCCACCAGCCGGCCTCATCTCAGCAGCTGGGCCCTGTGAGTACTCGGAAAACGTACCCTTTGGGGAGCACACACCAGAAGCTGCACTCGTGTGCCCTGCGGTGGGGTCACTGGACTGACATCTAAGCCTGGAACTCTCCCATCGCCACCACTGCCATCATTTCATCACTACCGCTTCTCGAGAAGGCACAGGCCAGCTAAGTGGAAGGAAGACTTGAGGTGGCATCTTTGCCTCGCAGCTTTCCGAAGCAGCAAGCTAACTCAGTATCCCAACAGACCTGGGGATAGCGTGTCAGGGAGAACACGAAGAGGGGAAAGTGGCCGCATTTGCTTGAGAATCCAGAGTGGAGCTCGGCTAGTCTGGCCTCTGAGTCAGTAAATACAGCTGAAGACAGCAGAGCTCACCGTTCTGTCCCTGCCTCCCAGCCCCCCTTTCTACGGCCATAGCCCCTGCATTTTGGCTTTCTGAGATAAATGAAGCCCTGCACCCTTGGACCACATTAATTACCTGATAATGACACTGTCAGTGAGGACTGACGCTCAGATTAGCATCTTTTATGACTTTTTTCTGTCCCATGTTGCCCTTCTCTTTTATCACTGGCCGTGCTATCTGGGACCATGAAGGGACTCACTCATTTTGTTGTTGTTGTTTCAATTAAAAGATCATGAGAAAGGCAGGTTCTGAAGCCTTCGCCATTGAGGCCACTTGCCTCTCCAACTCACCCCTCTCCCGGGCCTCTTCTTCCTCTTTTCAATTCTCAAAACTCCTTGTGGATCTGAAAGCAGACTAGCAGCTACTCTTCGAGAATTTTTATCTGTTCCCAGCCAGGATGCAACCATCTTACTTTGTCTACCTGCTCCCAGGGCCTAGATGTGTTTTTATAAACAGATCCTTTTTTTTTTTAATGTATCAAATGTCAGGGGATTGAACTACCAGTATTTACACATTCAGGGTTTGCCTCTGGGTGAAAATGTAAACAGAACCCCGACCACACTACTTATAGTCTTTCGTAGAAGAACAAGGTTTTAGAAAGACTCTCCTCGTGTTCAAAACTGCAGACCCTCCCAAGTTGAAGGTTTGAAACTCTAGATCCGTATTTTGTTCAGAGCCCGTATGTAAGCTCCTGGCACTTTCCAATGAATTTGTCTTAAGCTTCTCTCCATTCCCTGCTCTCTGCCTTACGACATTCTGCTGAGGGCAGCCAGTGAAGCTGACATCCAGTGGGACAGAATCGCCTCATATGGACACGCAGCCTATGTTTCCATGTCCCTGAGTTCCTTCCCCTGTCCTACTGCCCCGAGGCAGCAAACCTAAAAAAATATTTCTCAGTACTGTTGTGCTGGGGCCTGGAGTCCCTGGCAGCACCGGGATCGGATGCCCCCCAACCCTGCCCTCAACTCTCTGGACCTTGCCTTCCGTCCCTGAACTACGTACCCCACAGGAAAGCACCCAGAGGGCAAGGAGAGGGCTGCCTCCGAAAGACGATGACCAGGGTGGCATTGTTGGTGGACCCTGGCCAGGCCAGCAGCGTGTTGCAGGCTGCCCAGGCCTGCAGGGGCCTCTACACGCTCTCCCCCCACCCCGTCCCTCTAACATACAGCCCTAGGGCTTCTGTGGGCACGCTTTTCCACACCGAAATCTATCGAATGGAATCCTCAGCTACCACCCTCATCTATGTACAACAGCTTCCCCTGAAGGCTCCTGGCCAAGCCCGGGGGTAACTTCAGCTCCTGCCACTGTCCATTCCCACCGCCCCTCACCCGACCAGTCTCCTGTGATCCTTCTGCAGCCGCTCACGCAGCAGGGCCGCCCCTGCGGCCCGGTGACTTACAAGTGGAGATCCATTGTCCGTTCTAATGCGTTCAAGATCGCCACTGCCAGCAGTCTAAACATCCACGAGCCGTCCTCCTGGCCTGCCTCTTAAACCGGTGTTTAATGGTTCCCCTCCGCTAACTAAACCTGCTTTCCACAGATGCCCGCTTTTATGGGAGAGGCAGGAATGCGGAGATATATTTATATGTTTGTTCATAAAAACTGAAAAATAAGCTCTGAACACGCTGTAAAAAATATTCAGTTACTTACCAAACAGGCTAGTTAAACCAGGGCAACACCAAGACCGGCCACATCACAAATTCGAGGAATCGAGGTGCCTGCGCTTTGAAATCGCCCAAGGTCTTCCTGAGGACTGGTGTCCCTGAAGAATATGGAAATAAGAGGGTTTTCCATCAGCCTGGCCGTTCCCCCGGGGGTCTCACCCGTGATCTCCAAAAGCAGCCACAATACCAGGAGCTGCAGTCAATGCCCGCGCCCGGATTACGGCGGTGGGTAAGTGGAGGGACACAGAGCCGGGGGTTCCCAGGCTGTGCCCAGGGCTAAGCAGCAGCCCGCCCTGCCGCGCCCTGCGCCCCTCGCGGCCCGGCCGCCCCTTTGTGGGGTCCTGCTGCCTCTGCTCTCGGCCCCGCACAAAACTGCACCCGTTCCCCAGCTGAATTTCTTGCCTCGGTTACCTATCCAACTTCGAAAAGTAATATCTACATTCCTTCTATTTAACCAGGAAAAGAAAAAAACAGTGATACTGTACCTGGTTTGAGATTCTTCAATATTTAAGAGGTGGGGGGAAAATATTTTAATAATGAAGCATCTGTTAAACACTTGCATTAACCTCTGGCTGATAAAAAAGTTTTTTTAACCCTGCCCCCCCCTCGTTTTAATTATCTTATGGTTAAGAAGGGGCAGCCAATCCTAGAAGAGGACCTCGGCAATTAGCAAAAAGAACATCAAAAAGTTTTATTGCGGAGGGAGCGAGGCGCCGCCCCCGCCGCCCCGGGATTGGCGTGAGGAGCCTCTGACGACATATATTAACCCGAGCGGCCCTAAAGATGTAGCTGTACATGGAGATCTTGCTGGGAAAATTCGCCTGGTCCCCTCACGGCGTCCAGCCCAGAACCGCCGCCGCCGCCTCCCGGGAGCTCCCGTGGCCGCCGCGCAGACCCCTCTGACCGCTGGAGCCCAAGGCCTTCGCGCTCCAAGGCGACCACAGGGCCCCAAATCCTTCCCCCGAAAGAAGGAGAGGATCTGAGAAAATGGATGCACTGAGACCTCTCTGAAAACCCTCCGAGGGAGCCCTGGAGGAGCGAGGACACGTTACTCGCAGCTAAAATCACATTCAAGGACCAAAACAACCACCACCAAAAATTTCATTAAAACAATAAGCGCCCAAGAATCCAGATCGGGCTGGTGGGGGGAGGGGAAGGGGCGGGAAGGGGAGGGTCGCACGAAGGTAGCTTCACAAGTGAGCAGTCGACCCCGCCGCCTCCCTGCGGAGCCGGGCCGGCTCCTCCAACGGCGGCTCGGACTCGTCCCGGGACTCGGTGCCAGGAGCGCGGCCGGGGCGTGGAGCCCTGCGACTCCGAGAAGCAGCCTCGCGGGAGCAGGGCAATTTTGCATGAGCACCCGAGGATTCGGCGTCCCCTCAGCACCCCGGGAAGCAGCAGCCGGCGCGCGGGCCGTGGAGCAAGGCGGGAGCCGGCGGCGGCGGCGGCCGAGGGCGCACGGTGCCGGGACCAGCTCGCCGCGCCCCATGGGGAGTCAGCGGCCGCAGCGCTGCTGAGGCGGGCCCGGCCGGCCAGGCGGGGGGCCGGGGCCCGGGCTGCAGCAGCCCCCTCTGCGGCTGCCGGGCCGGCCCGGGCGCCCCGGGGCTGGGGGGTGGGGGGTGGGGGAGGCCGCCGAGCGCCGAAGCAGGGGCCCGGGCCCAAGGGGCGGCGGGGCTGCGCGCACGCTGGGGCGCGTGGAGGGGCGCGGAGGGCGAGATGAGTCTGGTGGGGGGCTTCCCCCACCACCCGGTGGTGCACCATGAGGGCTACCCGTTCGCCGCTGCCGCCGCCGCAGCTGCCGCCGCCGCCGCCAGCCGCTGCAGCCACGAGGAGAACCCCTACTTCCATGGCTGGCTCATCGGCCACCCCGAGATGTCGCCCCCCGACTACAGCATGGCCCTATCCTACAGCCCCGATTATGCCAGCGGCGCCGCCGGCCTCGACCACTCCCATTACGGGGGGGTGCCGCCGGGCGCCGGGCCCCCAGGCCTGGGGGGGCCGCGCCCCGTGAAGCGCCGGGGCACCGCCAACCGCAAGGAGCGGCGGAGGACTCAGAGCATCAACAGCGCCTTCGCCGAACTGCGCGAGTGCATCCCCAACGTGCCCGCCGACACCAAACTCTCCAAGATCAAGACACTGCGCCTGGCCACCAGCTACATCGCCTACCTCATGGACCTGCTGGCCAAGGACGACCAGAACGGCGAGGCGGAGGCCTTCAAGGCGGAAATCAAGAAGACAGATGTGAAAGAAGAGAAAAGGAAGAAAGAACTGGTTAGTACCAGGGGTCAGCGGGCAGTGGGTTTGCGGGGTTCGAGTGGCTGGTGCTCCCGGTCTCTTTCCACATGGGCTGAGCAAGAGCACCCTGCTTTCTTTGGCCGCCTCCTGAGCCTACGTTGTTTGCACCAGCTCGCGGTAGGGATGGTTCCCCGAAAAGGCAGAGGAGGTGAGGGAGGGTGTCAGCAGGAGAAGAAGGAGGTTAAGAGGGGTGCTTCGCGCTGGCGATCTTCCCTCCCGGTCACCGCTGATCTCCCAGGCGCTTAGGGCGGACCTCGAAGTCTCGGGGTCGCTCCTGATCTTCCGATAGCGCTGGCCCAGAACCCTCATTCTGTGGCCTTTGGAACAGCACGGGGCCTCCAATCCAATGCTTCGAGGTACTCCGAAAAAATCAGTCTCCCATAAGCTCTCCATTCCAATTATGTTTCTATTGATTCCATTGCCACCGTTTGAGAACCAGGCCGCCACTGATTCAAAGAGAGTTTTATGGTTGTTCTTACTGTGCCCTGAAGACATAAAGCTAAACACGAAATAAGCACTTTTAACTTCAAAATGCAGTTCCAGTTTCTCTTTGGCCATGAGGTTAAAATGCAATTTATCAGATGAGTACATTTCATGGGTATTTCTTCTTTTATTTGCATCGACCTGCGCATTTTAAGACAAAGAGTAAATATTACTATGATCACCGCTGTTCACAGTAACTCGAAATTATAACTGAAAATTAGTTTTCTCGAGTCCCTACCAAGTTCTCTTAAGGTGATGGTGCTCAGAGCAGGGCGGTTGCCAAAAGGGACCTGAAAAATAATCCTATTTGTCGAGTGTTCCTTCCTTGGGGCCTGTGGCGCTTTAGGCGCTGCGTACACGAGTGACCTCCAGAATGCCCAGGGGTTTCAGAGGCCTTGGAGGAGAAGCTGAGCTGGGGGTGGAGAGCCGCCGGCCCACAGGCCCAAACCAGGGCGAGGGAACCTCTCCCTTTCTTCCTGAGAGTGCGGATCTGGGATTGCGATCGACACCGGGGAAACCACATTTAGCGCCAACCCCGCTAAGGGCCCCCAGGTCCTCCATAAAGGACATGAAAACGGGTGGTTGCTTATAAACGTGCCTATCTGGTATTTGAGGGTTGCAGGCGCTCGGAGGCCTGGGCTGTAGCTAGGGCAGCGCCAGTCCTCGTAGCTTTTCCGCAGGGGCGAGGAATGAAAGCCATCCCACCTCCCAAGCCTTCCTCCCTGTCTCTCTGTCTTCTCGAGCCCGGGGAGCGCGGGGGTGGCGTGGAACCAGGTTTCCTCTCTGAATTTCTCTCTCCACTTTTCTCCCCCTCGCCTCCCTTCTGCCCAGAACGAAATCTTGAAAAGCACAGTGAGCAGCAACGACAAGAAAAGCAAAGGCCGGACGGGCTGGCCGCAGCACGTCTGGGCCCTGGAGCTCAAGCAGTGAGGAGGAGGAGGAGGAGGAGGAGGAGGAGAGCGCTAGTGAGCTGGGGCCCAGGAGCCGGATGTAGAGCCAGGACTCCGGGCAAGCTCTGCGCGCTCCGACCCGAGGACTACTTGCATTTGGAGTCATCCGGTTTATTTATGTGCAATTTGCCTCCCTTCTCTTTGCCCCCCTTTGAGGCATCCGCTCCCCACCTCCCCCTCCAAAAATAGTGGATATTTGAAGAAAAGCATTCCATATTTTAATATGAAGAGGACACTCCCGCGTGGTAAGGGATCCCGGCGTCTCGTAGATTCTCTGTGTTTGAATGTTCCCCCCTGGCTGTGTAGACACCAGCGTGGCCCCTGCCCACCTACCCTTCCACGTAACAGACAGCGGACATTGGTGTGTATGTGAAGTGTATCTTTAATCATTGGCCTTTGGGTATAAATATTCCTGGGGATTATAAAGCTTTATTTCAAAACGGAAAACGGGGCCGCTAACATTTCCGTTGGGGGCGGTATCTCGTGCTGTCGTTTCGTCTGTGGTTGTTCTCTATTTGAAGATGTTCCCAGCAGCTACTTGTTTTGTGCACTTCCGTCCTCTAAAACTAAGTGGAATTTAATTAATATTGAAGGTGTAAACGTTGTAAGTATTCAATAAACCACTGTGTGTTTTTTTTACAAAACCCCAATCTTTTAATAGTTGATACCTCAAAAGAGTTTTGAAAACAAAACTGTTATATTTGTTTTCATAATATTTAAAATATTCAGAAGTAAACTAAATTATCATGATTGCCTCTAACTTTATTTGAAAGAGTCAGTGATTTCGACCAATCAACTTGAGCAGTCGTCTCCCCAGGGCGTGGTGGTCCCAAAAAGAGACGGGTCCTTGATGAAAATCTTGCCACAGCGCCTGGGCTCCTCCCAGAGGCCCCCCCCCAACCCCCCAGGAAAACCCTGAGTTGTCTGTAGGAAGAGGGTCTGGGCTGGAGAAAGGCCTCAGTTCCCCCAGAAGGTGGGAAGGTGTCCTCGTTTTCCTGAAATCAACCAGAAGCCATTCGGCGGGGACCTAGGCTTCTGTTGGGGGGCGCGTTTTCAGCTGAGGAGGTTTGGAGAGGATCCCAGGCATTAGAGCCTTTAACTCAAAATACAGGGTTTTCATCTAAGAAAGGAGAGGGGAAAAGGAAAGAGAAAAGAGGAGGTAACGCGTGGTCTCGACGGCGTGGGGGTGGTGGGGGCGGAGTGCTGTGAACTCCCCTCTGAGCAGGCTGGGGGGAGAGGGGGGGGCCTTCGGAGAAGTCCCTGATTAGGTAGCAAGGAACTTAGGTAACATCGAGTAAGAAATCTCGAACGCGACCAAGGATTTAAAGGGGGTGGGTGGTGGGAGCCAGATTTACAAGGCGCTACAGGGAACTCAATATTAACTGTGCGGTGTCTGAAGTCTTCCCGGCCGCATGCCAGCCTAGCGAGCGACTCCCTGCCCGACTACCAGCCCCCCGGGACGGGACCCCGCCGGAGGTTCGGTCTCTCCGAGTCCCAGCACGACCCGGAAGGAAGTCCCCGAGGCCTCCTTGGCCCGCGGTCTTGGCTCGAGCCTCAACCTCCGCGCTAGGAACCAGGGAAACTGGTGCGCCTTAGAGGACTTGGCAGGCCTGGGAGGGGGGAAAGGGGAGGGATTGAGGAGTGAGGAGGGGGGAGGGAAGAAAGGTGAAACGTATTAAAAAGCGGTTTGTTTCATGAAACGCCACGTATATAAATCTGGTGTTAGGGAGGCTTGCCAGAGGCTTTCCATCTTGGAACCCATCCTCGGGGTGATGTTCGCACCTCGGCTTCGGGCGCAGACCCTCCCCTCACATCCCAACGGTTCCCACGCCTGGCCTGTGCCCACTCGGAGCGCGCCGCCTGCAGCAGGGGAATTCGCAAGGGCCGGGGGAGAGACAGCGAGTGGCTCTGCGGGTCTCTTCTG